CTTACGTACGGCAGGTCGATAGGTGTGCGATATCTGGTCCAAGGACAACCAAAAAGTCGTACCGGTACCGTGTTCACAAACTTAGTAGAAGTACCGGTTCTTCAATTTGAAAAGAATGTTCTTTGATCTTGAAMAGAATAGAAACCATTAAGTTCTTTTATCCTTCGCAGGAGCAAGCCAGCGCATATATAATTTGTCATGACATTCTTATATGCCGGTAGTTCCATTACCTGACACGTGGTCCAAATCGTATTCAACATTTTTCATCCGTGTAGAGTACCATAGTACTTCGTACTTCAGATTTAGAACTTTTCAACTGAAAAAAAATAGAACAAAAACACTGTAATTATTACCGTAGTTTGACACGATCCAAATACGGGTAAGAGAATGAAGAATTTTTGGGCTACTGTCTTAAAAACAAATGTATAACAAACCTCTGACATTGGTGGGTTTTCCGAACTCATAAAAAGTTGTCCCTCTCCAATAATATATGACTTTCTAAATAAGCCAATACCATGGAATTCTTGATCGTGGAGACTTTTTCATAAGTGTTTGTTAATCTTGAACACTGCATGAAAGCAAGGGTCACGAACTGACCTGAAACCTGACAAGGAAAATGCAGGGTAGGGATTCTAACCCCAMCACGACCATAACTCTTCAACCGAGGCAGAAGTCACATGACAGGCAGTTAGATTTTCAGTGGACTGTGGATAACGATTTGACTCAGAAACGGTCACAGCTCGATTGAAAGTATCTTGCTTGACCAAAATCTCTTTAGTGATACTTTAGACTGAGAGACTAAGGCAGGTGTCAAGATCGTGCTACTACCTCGTTCGCGCGATTGTTAACGATCTACTATATATATTATCAATCTGAATGGCATTGCGAAATAATCCGAACAACCGCACACGATGCTTTCAGAGAGGAGGAAAATCCCGACAACTCGTTCTTCAGCACCGTTTTTGGCGCAAAAAAGTACGAATGAAGATGGCAGAACCAACAAGTACAAAAATAACAGCACCCGCACGGGGAGAACGATGCCGGAAAGTTTTGCGTCCGCGTCAACGTCGTCGCGAAATAAGCGTCGTTCTAGCGGTTTCTTGCCTCCGACCACACTTGACGTCGAGCCAGAAGACGATACGTCAACAACARTAAGAAGTGAGACAGAAACTGAAGAAAGCGTAGTCATCGCTCCGACACGACACCAGAGGCAACTGATGCGACAAGTCTCTGGTTTGGGGTTGGAAGACCCTGTATTCGGAGGGAGGGAAACATCAATCAAAGAAGAGCATTTCTCGTTTATTTTTGAAGATATGGGTTGTAATGATGTGCCGGAAGGTATGAGGGATATGATCTCATTGGCATCCGACCGAACGGATGAAGTTGAAATTGTTGACAAAGACGGACAATACATAGAAGAATCAAAATTTTCCAAGCTCACCGACAAGATACCAAGTGGATATTCCCACTCGCAAACATCATCATCGCATCGTCGATGCTCAGTTTCTAGCTTCCCTCCCTTGGGACTCGATCCCGCTGCAACAGCGTCATCTCTTTGCTCGAAAAAAATACCCCGCGATCTCACGTTGAATAACTCTTCGCAAACATCTTCGGTAATTTCGGGATTGAGTCCTGTTCCACCCTCCGGTTCTCATCAACGAAAACCAAGACAACGCCGTAGTAGCTGCGCAAGTACTTCTATCGTGTTATCGGATAAGTATCTTGCGGCGCAGGTGAACGCTATGTTATCCATGGGMGAGTCGTCAAGGGGCAGTCTCAGCAGCACAAGTCACGTTCGTAACACACACCGCAAGAAAAAAGAATCACAAAGAATGAGCAAAGGCCGAGACGATAGTCGCTCATCAACATCGAGCAAATATGCCCCACCTTCTCTTCCTTTACCTTCGAGCACGAAAGTCAAAGACCGTGAACGATACCTTCCAGAATCTATGGACGAGATTTTCTCTTCCAAACGTTCMTTTACCAGCCGGCGGCAGCCTGAATCTRTGGACGAGATTTTCTCTAAATAATCATCTTGTAGCAGCYGACCGAAGAAAACTTCCACATGTAGTGGCAAACAAGCGAAAAAGCCAAAGTAGAACCACTCAYACTGCTCACRACAAAAAAACACCTGAAGACTAGTCCAAAAACGGTACTTGATACGTATGATACGACATTCGAGCTGCAGAAATTCTCCAAAATTACTACCAGTTCATCGATAGTGTGTCTTCGTATATTTCCACTTTTTGCGGTGGCGTTTTTTCATGTTATATTAATACTATTACAATAAAATTTGAAAACAGTTTCTTCATTAATACGAAACGCATGCTTAATGAGTTGGGGATAGTGTACAAAATAGCTTTGTGGTTTCGTCTTCTTTCTTTGAAACACAATCCCTTCTCTAGACCAACAACAAGAATGCAGTTTGCAATCACAATCCAAATGGCATTCTTTCTATTGTTACATATGTTCATAGATTACCCCCTCTTCTTCTGAACACTCAAATTAAAAACTTATGCATGCTCTTGTTTTWTTAGATCCGTGACTTCAGACTCCTTTCCGACTGCTGCCATCACTTTTTGTCACAAAGGTATGTACAAAATTAATACAAARAGTAAAGAAAACTTGTTTTGTGCTGGCAACAAGAAGAATCATATTCCCCATGATGTAAATGGACAAGACTTGTTGATGCCCCATAGAAAATCCCATTACCATTCAAGATTTCTGAATGTCATAACTTTTGCTACCATGTTTGATGTAAACTCAWTTGTTCTAAACATCAACTAGTCATCTTGCTGCTGCCTACTAGTAGTATCGCCACACCAGCTTTTGGTGGTCGAGACTTTTGTATTTTCAACTGTTACTAGTAGTGAAATGTTCAAGAACCGTTTAGTGAAACAAGCCGTATTCAAGCTCTGCTTGTAAGTTATCTTCTKAAGGGATGATGCCATCAATTTCCCAGAATGTGAAAGGTGGAATAGTAGTAGTACTAGTAGAAAAATATGGAAATTGTAGTAGAAGAGAAGAAATGAAAGTGCAGAATGAACAGATTGTTTTGTTTAACCCTCTCATTCTGTGTAGGATTTGTTCTGCAGTCTGCATTGTGAGACATTACTAAACACCACAGAAAGGCAATTGCAACAA